AAACGACGACTTTGATTGATATATCGAATGGCATAGGAAGGAGGGGCAAAAGATGTCAAATAGTGAGAGGTATTTCTTATTTTTCGGTCAATAAATAGTGTGAGGGTTAGTGATGGCTGCCACGCACAAGTGTTTGATGTTGAAGATAAAACGGCCTTGTGTTTACAAGACAATGTGATTTGTTATAATTAAGCTTAAGAAAACACTTCCAACACCCACCAAATAGCTTCTCTCTCTACGTTTCTGCCTTTTCTCCTCATATTTTAGTGGCATCAGAAAATATAGAAACCGCCAGCTCCTACGATTTCTTGATCAGCATCAAACATGGCAATTCAAGGCTAATTAAGGTACGTACTTTGTTTAATTTTTCTCCAATTTCCGATGTTTTCCTTTATGTTCATCTCACCATTTCTTAGGCTTTTACGGTTGTTGTGTCAAGTTTTTTCTCCACCATTTCATTGCTTTTTAACTTTTTTTTATAAAAAAAATTTCTTGATGTGTAAGATTCTCCAAGGTCGGCCCTGGAATTTTGAGAGTTTTGGGTGAAACTAAATTAAGACCTTCACATGATTTAATACAATTAAGAATAGTAGAATTTTTTTTATCGTGCATTACGAACGTTGTTTTTGTCTAAAAAATGTCATACAATGATGATTAAAAAAATTGTACATGCAACTTTCCTAATTTTTCACTTTGATTTAGAACAAGGTTTTATTGAATTTTTTTGCAAGAACTTCACATTCATCTGGATAACTATTTTGAAGGATCCAAGGGATTGACCATGCAAATTTTTGTGTAATTTATTTACTTGGTTTCCGTTAAACTTTTATTTTAGTTGATGAAGGATGCTTTTTGTGAAACAGATCACCCTTGGAGCTTTGGGAGATGCAACAACCAAAAATGGAGCAACCCGAAGAGGAGTTGAAGAAGGTGAAGGCGCAATTGCAAGCAGTGGAGGTAGAAAGAGATGGAGCTGTTGATGAACATCGAGAGATGAAAAAAGTGGCAGACGAGGCCAACGTGAGGCTTAGTGAAGAATTGGCAACTCAGAACGATGTCAGGAACGACTCAGAATTAAATTTGACGGCGGAGTTGTTGTCGAATGCAAGGCAAGAACTGAAGAGCAAAGAGGAGATTATTGAGTCTTTGAAACTCGAGTTAGGGAAGGCCAAAGATTTGGAGCTCAAGTTGAGTGAGAGAGTGAAAAAGTTTGAAGCTCAAGCAAAGAGTTTAGTGTCTCAAAACGAAGAAAGAATTCGGGAGTTGGAGATCAAAGCAGACCATGCGAAAATCTCGGATGCTCATACGAAAGCTTTACTGTCCGAAAGTAAAAAAAGAATTCGCGAATTGGAGATGAAACTGGAGGAGAATATGAAGTCCACCGAGGCAGAAGCTCACACAAAGGCTTTGTTATTCACATGTGAAAAAAAAGTTCGTGATTTGGAGCTAAAACTGGCAGAGAAAACGGAAAACTCTGATCCTCACATGAAGGCTTTATTACTCAAAAGTGACGAAAGAATTCGGGAATTGGAGCTCAAACTGGCAGAGTATATGAAGTTTTCTAACGCAGAGTCAGAGAATGCGGAAACCTCTGAGGCTCAAACGAAGGCTTTATTGCTCAAAAGTGACGAAAGAATTCAGGAATTGGAGCTCAAACTGGCAGAGAAAGCGGAATACTCTGGGGCTCATACAAAGGCTTTACTGTCAGAACGTGAAGGAAAAATTCAGGACTTGGAGCTCAAACTAGCAGAGAATGTTAGCGCCTCCGAGGCTCACACCAAGTCTTTATTGTCAGAAAGTCAAGGAAGAATTCAGGAATTGAAGCTCAAACTAGCAGAGAAGATGGAAACCTCGGAGGCTGACACGGATGATTTATTGTCTGAAAGTGACGAGAGAATTCAAGAATTGGAAATGGAAATAGATAAAAGGAAGCAATCAGAAGCAAGAATTCTTGATTCATTGATCACCCAAACAAACCAACTTGAGCAGACCAAGGCTTTACTTGAAGAGGCAAAGTTTGAGATTGCCTCCTTTCACAAGAAAATGGAGAAATGCGAAGATGAATCCGATGAAAGTAGTCAAGATAGTAGTGCATCTCATCAGCATGATCAATCCGAAAGTCATATTTCCATGAAGGAGGAATTAGAGAGTCTCAAGTCTGAGCTTCAGATGACAAAGGAGAATCTGGGTGATGTCCAAAAAAAGGAGCAACTCTCTACGTCCAAGGTCGAGAAATTACTTGACGAGAGAAAAGTACTTAAACATGAATTAAGGTTGGCAACTGAAGCCGAAGAAAATGGGAAAACGGCGTTGGATGATCTGGCTTTTGCACTGAAAGAAGTTGCGACAGAAGCCAACCAGTTGAAAGATAAACTTTGCATGAGCCAAGCAGAGCTGGAGCACTCAAGAGCACAAGAAGAACATCTAAATGCGATGTTAAAAAGCAACGAGGAAAGTTATAGAACACTACTGGATGAAGCAAGGAAAGAAGCCGAAAGACACAAAAACATTGCTGCCAGGTTGAAAATAGAACATGAAGAGTCAGTTTTAGCATGGAGTGGGAAGGAAACCGGTTTTGTTAATTGTATTAGAAGAGCCGAAGAGGACAGATGTGCTGCACAACAAGACAACTTCAGATTGCATGAGTTGGTTCTAGAGACAGATAATAGAGCCATGTTATCGAAGGAAGAAAATAGAAAGTTGCGCGATATACTTAAGCAGGCGTTAAATGAAGCAAATGTTGCAAAAGAAGCTACTGCCATTGCTCAAGCCGAAAATTCTCGACTCAAAGATACTCTGGCTGGAAAAGAGGAGGCCTTGAATTTCCTTACTCAAGAAAACGAAAATTATAGGGTAAATGAAATAGCAGCTCATGAAAATATCAAGGAGTTAAAACGGTTGCTTATTGAATCGTCAAAGAATGAGGAAAAAGAGAAAATACCAACAAAGGAAAATGATTGCAAGAAAGAGGAGAAAGAGAAACCATTGTCAAAGGAGAAGGACTGCAAGAAGGAGGAGAAGGATAAAACACCATCAAAAGAAAAGGAGTCGAAGAAGGAGGCTAAGGAGAAAACATCATCATCAAAGGAATTGAAGAAGGAGGTCAAGGAGAAAAAACCACCAAAGGATGTGAAAAAGGAGGATACGAGTAAAGAGAAACCGCCATTAGCGGGGGATGCAAAAAAGGAGGATAAAGAGAAAACATCGTCCAAGGATGAGAAGGACGCTACAACATCTCAAAATGGAAGCATATTTGGCAAAGTTTTCAGTTTCAATCTTAAGGAGCTCAAAATTTCAAACACGCATGAAGAAGAAGTTGTTGACGGCGATGATGAGATTGAATTAGACGAGGCTCTCAAAGGGTCGATATTTGAGGTAGCCTCTCCGGGGTCAGCTACACATCACCGCGGAAACTCTTCTTCTACGTTCACAGACGATGGAGAAGGATTCCATTCAGATGATTGTGATCATCTAGATGGACCTCAAGGTGAAAATTCAAGGAAAAAGAAAGCTTTGCTACGAAGATTCGGAGATCTTATAAAGAGAAGCACTACTTATAGTACCAAAAAGGAACCATCGCCGGATACGAAAAAGGAACCATCACCGGATACCAAAGAAGAAACATCACCAACCAAAAGGGAACCTTCACCAGAATAGCTAAAGCTGTATTTTTTTGTATTGTTCTTCTAGTTTTGATACTCAGTAGTTTAATCTGATTCTTTCTGTAACATATACATCTAGAGTTTCGTTTAGATTTTCTGTACATATTCATCTAGTTTGTATGATTTCTACTTATAATTTGTTGTAATCATATAACGTATTTAGTTTTTTTATCACAAAATATATAATTTTCTCATTTCCACCACAATATTATCTCTAACTTGAAGTGCATACAAGTCATTGTTGTTGTTTCTTAGAGAAATTGACTAACTATTATTCACAAGATTATACAGTGATACAATGATTCTTATGTACCAATGATTCAATTTTTAAGAAAAATGTAACCGTGTTTACGAAGAAATGGACCCAATTAATAAAAAATCTAAACCCTAAACCCTAAATCCCAAACCATCTCAAATTGTGTGTCATTTCTTTGTCCGCATAAGAAATGGTAAGAGAACATTTTCAAAGTGAGACTCTTCAGGAACTTTTTATCACCTTACATTTTACGTCAATTTTCGTGCCAATAGGGTAAAACATTTGGCACAAGATGACAGAGTAACAGAGAGTTCATGAAGAGTCCTACTTTTGAAAGAGTCTTTTTAACATTTCTCTTCTCTACACTCAAAAGGAATCCGCTGTGAATATGTTGTTGAAGAAAGAAGTAGAGAAAGGAGGGGAGAGAGAATAAGAGCATCTCTAAAGGAGATGTCAAAACTGTCACATAGACGTACAACATTAGAAAATGGCAGCAAACTCTCTCCAACAGAGCCTTCAGTTTTTTACATGACACTAAGTTAATTGAAGGCAAAGCCTTTTGCTATCAAATTTGACAACAACTGTAAAATTCATTCAATAATTTTTTAATGGATGTAATGCAATATATAATAAATGTGTGTGTTTCAAGTATGGAACTAGATCCCCTCTGAACCCAAAGGAACTGAGCCCAAGGATCAAATGATACGGACCATTGAAATTTGATCTAACGACTACAAACAGGGAGATATCTAAAAATTATAATAATTATAACCGTTGAATCAAATTTCAATGGCCCGGATCATTTGATCATTGGGCTCAGTTTCTTTGGGTTCGAAGGGGATCCGGTTCCTTCGAAATTATCTCAATAATTAACCACACAAAGAGATGCAAAGAAACCATAGAAAGACATTATTATTTAACATATTAGGGGGGGGGCAAAAAATTGTATAAAATGTTAAATTACCACACAAATCATCAAATGTCATTTTGATGTTTAAAATTTTCCTATTTCTCGCAACCGTTAGATATTCCAACGCCAATCTGGACCGTTTATTTCCCGGACCATTAAATGGTCCGGTGCGTTGAAGAAAAATCGCCAGGTTTGAAGTGGTGTCTTCATGTTTTTAGTAGCAAAAGCTGTCGGGGTTCGAACCGCCAACAATGGCGCCTGTGAGAAGCACCGGCGCTGTTGTGGCTGTAGTCTCAGTGTCTATGGCGTTGCTCTCTCTTTTTCTCTACAAGTCCAAGCCGTCCTCCAAAAAGACCGAACTATCCCTGCGCTCGAAGGAAAATCACAGAGATGGCCTCGTTGGTGCCATTGGCAACACCCCTCTGATCCGCATCAACAGCCTCTCGGACGCCACCGGCTGTGAAGTAAGCAGTAAGAAGCTTTTTCTCCAAATTTTTTTTTCTTTCTGGATTTTCATTTATTTCTGCAATTATTATTATTTTTTAATATTTGGGTTTGTTTAGATACTTGGAAAGTGCGAGTTTTTGAACCCAGGTGGGAGCGTGAAAGACAGAGTTGCTGTCAAGATTATTGAAGAGGTTAAAAAAACTTAGTTGGTTGACAAATTTGACGGAAACTTTTAAAATTTTGCATTTCGTGTATTTGTAAGTTGAAATTCGCGGAAAATATAATTGGCACCAGTGATCATTAACTTAGATTAATTTTTCTGGAAAGTAGGGTTTGTCGAAACTCGAAACTCGAAACTCGAAAGTAAGTTTTGACAAACTCTAACCTGCTGTTATGATCTTCACTACTTTTGTTGTCAAATTATTAAAAAATTAAGGGACCGTTTGAGAAAGTGAAAACTGAAAATAAAATGGTTACCAAACGGCGCCTAAATGTATTCAATTGCTCACAAGTTTGGTATTCTTCTTATTATCGCTGTTAGTGATACTTGACATTGTTGTTTAGCATTTAAATTGACTTAATATTGTTCTGGCTACTACCTTGTAGCAGTTTAGATAATCCGTTGTAATGAGTTGTTGACTGATTGTAATGGATTGGTTTTCTGAGTCACGCAGATGTTCTGATTTTTGGTTGTATACAGGCTTTGGAATCTGGAGGCCTCGCTCCAGGTGGAGTGGTCACCAAGGGGAGTGCTGGAAGCACGGCTATTAGCCTTGCCACGGTTGCTCCTGCGTATGGTTGCAAATGTCACGTGGTTATACCTGATGACGCTGCTATCGAGAAGGTATTTAGAGATGCATTTCGGATTAGCGACATTGATTCATAAACTATGAATCAGTTAAAGGTGCTGTCGGGGTTTATCTGATATGAGCAAACACCAGAAACCCAGTGGTACCATAAACCATGATCCCGCTCCTTCCAGTTTCTTTTTTTCCATCGAAATTAAAAATTAGGTTCTGCAGTGTGCTGAATTTGACTTCTGTTGTGCCAACATTTCTTTCAGTCTCAAATACTTGAAGCCCTCGGGGCGACTGTTGAAAGGGTAAGGCCAGTGTCAATGACGCTCAGGGAACACTTTGTAAATATTGCTAGGAGGCGGGCTACGGAAGCAAATGAAAAATCTGTAATCATATACCAAATAGTAAGATGAAAAATCCCAATTTCTTACATTCACCTGGCAATGTTAAACTAAGAATGGTTAGTTGTTTTTCTTGGCCTCAAGCTTGTTTTTCTGAAAACTGTCAGGTTTCTTATGAAGAACAACGGGCTCTTTTTGGGGAGTTCTTCAGCCATGAATTGTGTTGGAGCAGTCCGAGCAGCACAGTCGCTTGGTCCCGGTCACACAATTGTGACCATTTTATGCGATAGCGGGATGAGACATCTGAGCAAATTTTGCAGCGCTGAGTATCTGTCTCAGTACGGTTTGAGACCCTCGGCTAGTGGATTAGAGTTCCTGGGTGTTGCATGAGGATCTGCATCTGCCAAGGGCATCCATGTTTCTCTCTGCAGTTCCATCCAAAGGGCAGTAGCTTAAGTAGTTTTTCATTCGGTTGCAGTCTTCGTGAAGTTTTTAGACAGTATTTCTGAATACTTTAGCAATCGCACTCAATAGATTACATTAATTTCTACAGGCAAAGTGTTTGCATCTCTTAGAATGAGTTCATTCGAGAAGCGATTATTCATCTTACGTTGTTGATTTTGGGGGCATTGAGTTCTGTATTGAAATGAATGTTATGGCTCTACAATTTCGTAAGTTAATACATCGCTAATCACTTGTTTAAACAATCAAATTCTATTCCGATAGTTTCTGGAATAATGGTGGAAGATTCAACTAAAATTTTGTTGTCAAGATACATGGCTTCAAATGTCTCCATAGATATAAAAGATCAAAACCTCACACGATCGGGATGCCAAATTCAAATGTTTCGAGCAATTCAAAACATGCGATACTCTAATCACTCGGTGTTCCACTTCTCAAACTGAGACTCGTGACAGTGTGGGTCTAACCAATCCCTGTTAGAACCCTTTGCCATGCTGCTGCTTCCCTTCCCACCCACAAGCTCTCTCAGATTCTCCAACTTATTCTCTCGGCCTGTCCTGGTACTTTTCTTATCTGCTTCCTTCAGTTTCTGCTTGAACTTCTGCTTACGGCTACTAGGGTTTACCTCTTGCTGCTTTGATTGCGAAGGAGGAGCCCCGTGCGGTCCTAAATAGATCTTCTCTTCTTTTTTGGCCTGCATACAAGAAATGCAAAGTCAACAAAAAACCAGTTCCGAGGTCTCCGAATTAAAGACTTTCAGGGCCATCAGGTACAAACGTGTAATTCCCTTTACTCATTACAAGGAGCTACAGCACTTGTAAGCACTTGTAACTGACCTTTGGAGATGGTGGTTTTGAAGCTTCTACTGTTGGAGCATTGTGATTACTGCTATCTTGCTCTTCAATCACCAAGCTCGGAATCACAAATCCATCAGTGTCTAATGCCAAAAACAGTTCAATATTAATCTCAAAACAGTTAAGTGCGCATCAATCAGAAGACTACGTTACATTGCTGACACCACTAACTAAAGGTAATTTCAGCACAACCCTTTTCTCCTTCTGCACTCTGTTTAATTTTGACCCTTTGTTCTCCATTGATTTATTCAATCTAAAGGCCAGATAAAGAACATAAGTTGTGCAGGAGGAGAAAAGCGGTTCGAAAATCATTTTCCCTAAATAAATTCACTGCAATCAAACTTAACGTGTCACACACAACAGAGAAAAACTTGTGCCACAAAGAGGTTACCCTAAAATACATACGCCTCTAGATAATTGCAACTATGATCAGTTTAAGAGTAGCACTTTCCTGCATCTTGGAGCAAACACTTTTCTCAAATTACGCTAACCGGTAGATACATAAAGAAAGTATATGCGATCCTAAGTTTCGACTCCAAAGTTAAACTTTCTTGCCAATTCACACTAAAACTCACAAGACAAAATCCAGATACTACAAGTTACAGATCCCGTAGAGAAATCATGTAGCTAACAAATTATGCTGCAATGCCAAAACAACATCTATTTACCCAATAAATCTCCATTTGTTTTCCATTTTGTAACAAGCATATATTTTCTCAGCAAACAAACAAATTAAATGTCTAAGCATAACCCAATACAAGAAATCAAGCAGAATGCAGTAATTGGCTGAGGTTAAGAACATTAATGCAAAACATACAAAAACCCATCCAAATTAGGCAAAAATATTCGCATCTTTACTAGTGATTTTCCACTTTCCAACAAAATTTTCTCAGCAACCAAACAACAGGATTTTATGAGAAGAAGAAGGAAAAACAGATGCGAAAGGTGATACATAACATACCCCACTCATCTTCTTCTTCGAGAGGTGGAGTGGTTCGCACTGGAGAAGGGTCCATGGGACGCTGATGATCATGGATTTAACCAGCCACAGGGCGCAAAAGCCCAGATCAAGGTCAATCCAACGGCTCAAATCCAATCACCACCACCAACACAACTCCCAAATCAGAGGCTTCCGCAAATCTGATGAAACGCAAAACCACCGAGCTTTTCTTTTCAGAAAACCCTATGAAATGGATGCCCAAAAGGTTAAAACCCTAACCCATTTTGCTTTATCCTTCAAAAGAAAAAAAATAAAATTGTTTTCTTGAGTTTGGCGGCGGCTTTGGGCTAAAGGCTATTTTCGGGCTAATGCTAGATAGATAAAATTTGTAATACATAATTTAAACGATGATAAATATGTTTATTTTTATCTGTGATACATAAATAGTATTGACTCAACTATATCATAATATTTCCACATAATCTCTATCTTTTCTTTCTAGTCTGTACTGCTCAACTTTATTCATCTAAGTTTCTAACTCTCTCTCTCGATCTACACTCTCCAGACTCTCTCTCTCTATCGGTCTCCCCTCCGGCCTCCCCTTCATTCTAGCCCCTAGCCTCTAGAGTCCAGAGTGCTATAATATGGTAAGAACTAAGATTTATAACTTGTTTTAGTTAAATTTACTTATAACATGAGAGTAATTGGTAGATACTAGATAGGTTTCCGCCCAGTATACACACACCTACACGAATTGAATCCGCCCCCTCCAAGCCAATCAAAAGGTTGTAGTTCACAAGGATCAATGGCTTCCGATCCATTGGTTTTAAATTTACAACGTGCAAGGTCTTTCCAACTATCGGCTTCTCAAGCCCATTCACAAGTTCAAAGACCTCCTAAACCTTCGGCTAGTAAGTGTGCAAAAGGAAGGGGAATAACAAAGGTTTGAAACTTGGATGATGCAAAGTAAGTTGAAACAACAAAACTTTTTTATTGAATTGGATGAACAATTTATTTTTCATAATGTCATAATGCATTAGGTAACCATAATAGCCTTTTCAAACACCAAAACTTTTTTATTGAATTGGATGAAATGAGATACAACTAGGTAACCATAATAGTTTTTTCAAACAATGAAACCAAACTAAAACCGTTTAAAACCAAACCGAACCGAACCAAATGGTTTGGTTTCATTTCGGTTTTAACCTCAAAATCACACTGAACCAAACTGCAAAAACTTGCGGTTTTGGTTTTGATTTCACTCAAAACCGCAGCAAACCGAACCGCACCCACCCTAATCGAGTGTGGGGTGCTTACGGTAAAAGAATCCATTTTTTAGTTCATGTACACAAACTTCCTCCTTTAATTGTTAAAAAATTAAGAACGTTATACTCGAATGATCTTAAATTAGACAATTTTTTTTCCTAATTCCCTTCCTTTCTATGCCACATGACTTCACATAAGCATGTTTGACGTGCTAAAGTTGACGCCTATATCACGGAGTTTAAATGAATCCAAGAAATATGGTTATTGATTGAATTTTAGAGGTTCAAGAGAAACGAATTGAAGTCTAGAGAAAATCCAATTTCAAGGGGCTTTTTAAAAAAATGTTGAAAATGTGTCCTAAAATCAATCATATGATGATACTTTATGGATATTTCACATGTTAAACTAATCTAGTTTAATATAAAAGGCAAAGATTATTGTTTGAAGCCGTCTCATATAAATGTTATATGCTTAAACGATAAGTCCAAGGAATATGTAATTGAGAGAATGTGATCTAAAGAAGTTAGATTCATGAGACCATTCTCTTTCATATACATATCCTAAATGTTCCCGATCATAAGATTGCCAGTTAGGCATTGACAGTTCGTTAAGATCAGTACGTGCTATGCCTTCTCTTAGGGAGAGTGACTGGTCTCAAGTCATTGGTGTGACTGATACCAAGTCAAGTACGTAGGTGCTCAATAGAGATTGAGTCCACTGAACACGATCAATAAGGAGTTCTCATACTCATGTCACATGAGAACTCATGGTTGGGATAATGCAAAGTAGTCCCTTGACTTGAGGCATCATAGTTGTCTTGTGGTTATGTCCTTGATCTTTGACTATGTCAAAGTCACTCCGTCAGAGGGTGTCTACGGCATGGTTGAGGTTAAGCCATTTAGCCATGGAGGCAAGTGAATGCGCAACAAGGGATCTTTAACCTTCAAACCGTTTGAGGGAGAATACTTTATGATAGTTTAAGAATCTCTGGCCAAAGTATGAATGAGATTTAGGAAGTCATTCCAAATCACATTCAAGGTAATCATATAAGTAAGAGAATCACAAACTATCAAACCAAACAATGTGGTTAAGAGTATTGTATTAGAGAAAGATCATATTGCATTGTAATCCTAAACTGAATAGGTTCTCCACCTCTTCTGATTAGCTTGGGTAGCCATGACATACTGGTAGGTGTCACTCATGGTTTGTGGAATCCCTAAATGTGTATAAACACTAAAGGGAGAATTGAAAGTAAGTTTCAATTCACAATCGATTTGAAGAGTTCTAGTCGCCCACTGCCTCGTTAAAAGGAATCTAATGGATCGTACACTGAGTAAGGTAGGGATTGAAGAAATAACGGAGATGAGTAAGGATAATTAAATGGTTTAATTATTTATGGCTAATATTAATTAATATGTTAATTAATCAAACGAATATGTTCGTTATAGACCTCGGGTTAGTTTTGGGGTGCAAGGCCCAATGAGATTTGAATGTCAAGTCCATTAACTCAAGTTGTATGACAACTTGAAAACACAAAGGGCTTGAAAGCCCAATGAACCCTTAAGGCCGGCCATATAGAGAAGGGTAAGGAACTTGCCTTAATTGCAAGTTTGCCACTCCATTGTGAGATGGTATAAAGACAACTTTATAGCCATTTCATCATTAGGGTTTTCTTTGAGGAAATTGGAGAGAACACAAACTCTCCCTTTCTCTCTAAGAGGCCGACCACCCTAGAGGAACATAGCTAGCAATCTTCCTTCCTCTAGGTCACTCATCTCCTCATCAATGCTCTCCTTGGCGTGGAAAAATTAGTGGTTCTCTATTTTGGGAACTTGGAGAATCCTTTCAACCATCATCCTCCAAGAAATCCATGGAGCTAAGAAGTAAGGAATGATGGCCCTCTCCTTGGGTGATTAGCCTTTGCTTATGCAAAGAGGAATCAACAAAAGTATAAGATTTCTCAACTCACTTTGTTCTTGAGTTGAGTCTTGGTTCACCATAACTACTAGGCTTTGAATTTCATGGGTTAAGTTTTGTTTTTGAGTGCATACAAGTATGAGTCCGCCTTTTAATTGTTTATAGCATGCATAGATGTTGCTCAAATGAACTTGTTTTCACAAATTCTTCCTTAAAAAAAAAGGCCAAATTTTTTGTGTGATCCTTGTGGTGTGATACCCTATTTTTA